AAGGACAGTTAAGAAGATTTGCATAACCAATTATAATTAAATTCACCTTGTATTCCATAGTGGACTTGTTAGAAAATGAATGTATTTGTTGATTAAAAAATGTTTGATAATAGAGCAAGTGCTGTTTATTGTTCTTTGTTGAGATCATAATGTCTGATTTTTGTAGGTTTTTTAAATTGTCAGCATCACTTACACATCCACAATTTCACTTACCCTCTCCCCAGCCTGGTAAAATAGGTGTTTCTCCTATTTTATAGTTAAACAAACTGAGATCCAAGAATATCAAGTAATCTTTAGCCACTGAAGCTCATAATATGAGTAAAGACAAAGCTGATATTTAAACCCAGGCTGTCCAGCTTTTGATTGGTCCTCTTCCATTGTACTCCAGCTGCCTTACAATTTGAGCACAGAGATGAAGGAAGAGTAATACGAATCTTTAGTACATTACACTCATGTTTAGAAAAATTAGGAAAGGGAAGAAAGCTTTTATATCCCTGCCTACCTCCTTTCCAGGAAAATAAGTGAATATCTATTATTGAGATCAATAACCTAACAGATGTGAGTGACTTAAAATATTAGAAATTTGGCTGATTTAAAAAAAAATTATAGCATTTTCTGAATGGCATCCTGAATGCCTGAAAAGACCCACGGGTGTATTTTGTGTGGACCATACAGATGTAAGTGTGAATTTTAAAGCTTTTAGATGGTACTCAAAATGGTCAATTCTTTCCAGCCTCCATCGCTCCCTATATACCTGTTCACATTTAGGCACCTGCTTGACCTGTGGAGGTCCTGGCCATTATAATACCTGAATTAGTTACTGTGATTGTTTTTCCCTGAAAATACTGGTTTCACTCTTTACTATTATTCTATTTTCCCCTTACATTTTAGATTTCTCCCAAGAAAAATAAATGAAAGAAGGGGAATGGAGAATGCTAAGAATAAAGACTGAAATTCTCTATAGTGTGGCTAAAAAAAGTCCTCACAAAGAAGGTGACATTTGATTCAAGACATTCAAAGGAAGAAAGCATGAACATATTGAGGGAAGAGTGCTCCAAGCAGAGGGAGCAACAAGTACAAAGGCCCTGCGGTTAGAACATGATTGGCATGCTTGAGGGACAGCAGAGCTGCTTAGGTGGCTGGAGTGGAATGAGAGAGACAGTCATAGGGGAACAGGGTTAGAAAGGTTAGGAATGGGAAGAGGACATTGAGTAGGGTCCTAGACATCCCTAAACAACTTGGTTTTCCCTCTGAGGAAGATGAAAAACCATTAGAGAGTATTGAGAACATGAGTGGCATGGTTCACTCATGTTTTCAAAGAATCACTCTAGATGCTGCGTTGGTAGTGGCCCTTGCCTGCGTGAAGACTGAATAAGGGAGGTGATATAAGAGACTGCTTCAATAATCTAGATGAGAAAGAATAGCAGCTCGGATCAGGGTGATAGCCATGGAGGTGGTAAGAAGTAGTCAGATTCTGGACACAATTTGAAGGTAAAAGCAAAAGTTACTGACAGGTTCAATGTGGGTATGAATAGAGAACAGTCAAGGGTTTTGGTCTGAGCACTTGGGAAAATAGAGATGCAATCTGCAAAATATTGCAGCCTGGAAACGTGAGATTTCTCTTGTCTTCTGGCTATAGGAAAGGGATATAGGAAGCAGAAGATAAAGGGTTGCAAATTAGGGCACTTGAGGAGAATAATTATATATATATGTGTGTGTATATATATATATATATATATATATATATATATATATATACACATACATACATATATAAAATACAAATATATATAATTTATACATAATATATAAGATACAGTAATATATAACAATATATATGATTATATTATACATTGATATATATATATATTTATATATTATAGTATTATATATTTGTATTCTATTTTTTTGTATATATTACACATATAATGCTTTTAGATAAGAACAAAGGAGCATGGGCAATCTGTGTAACCAAAGAAGCAAAGAAAAGTAGCAAATGGAGCTAGAAGTGGTAGCAGAGCAGTGAGACCTTCACATAGGATTCATGACTTTCACAGCTTTCCTAAGGGGGTGAGTAACATGAGCCCCCTGTTAGGGATAGGGTGCACCTGCATTTTTAAGTATTAAGCACTCCAAAAGCCATACTCTTTTCATCCTTCCCTACCCTGTATTTTCTCCTTTTAGACATTTTATGGTGGTAGACAACTTACGGCTTTGTTTTAGGCAGATTTTTCACTGCTGTGATTAAAAGATCTGACCAGAACAATTTTAGGAGGAAAAATTTATTTGAGGGCTTGCAGAATCAAACGTCTTACATAGACAGCCAACTCCATTCCTCAGGGCTCATGGCAGAAGACTGTTGCAGAGGAAAGCAGAGAGATACTTCACTCTCCAGATACAAAATATGTACCCCATAGCCATGCCCTCAATGAACCAATTCTTCCAGCAACTCCCCACCTGCCTCCAGTTACCACTCAGTTAATCCCATTAGGGATGAATTCACTGATTAGGTTAAGGCTATAACCCAATCATTTCTCCTCCAAATCTTCTTGCATTATCTTACGTGTGAATTCTGGGGGATACCACATCTATACCACTACAGGCTTACATTTATTTTTTCTTTTTGTGGCACTCTGATTAACTCAGAGGCACTCTATCACTGAGCTACACCCTTAGGTCTTTAAATTTTTTTTTTTTTTTAATTTTGTTCTGAGATGAGATTGCCCAAGGTTGATAAATTGCTCAAACTGCCATTGAACTTGTGATCCTTCTGTCTCAGGCTCCTGAGTTGCTAGGATTACAGGCGTGTGCCACCACACCCTACTTATTTTTTGTTTTTATTGAGATGAAGTTCACACAACACAAAATAACCATTTTGAAGTGAACAATTTGGTGGCATTTAAGACATTCATAGTATTGGCAACTAACACCTCCATCTAGCTTCAAAACATCTTCATCACCTCTAAGGAAAATCCTGTGTCCATCAGTTATTGCTCATTTCTCTCTTTCCCAGTCCCTGGTGACTACCCCTACAAAGCACTTTATGTCTGTGGATTTACCTGTAGTGGATATATCATAGGAATGGAATCATACATAATGTGACATTTTTGTGTCTGGCCTCTTTCACTTTTTTAAATATTTATTTTTTAGATATAGGTGGATACAATATCTTTATTTTATATTTATGTGGTTCTAAGGATAGAACCCAGTGCCTCATGCCTGCTAGGCAAGCGCTCTACCTCTGAGCCACAACTCCAGCCCTACTTTGTTGTTTTTTATGGCTGAATAATTGTATTTTATTATATGGATATGCCACATGTTGTTTGTGTATTTATCTGCTGATGGACATTTGGATTGTTATCATCTTTTGACTATTGAAACAGCATTGCTGTGAACATTACATACAAGCATTTGAATTCCTGTTTTCAATTCTATGGATGATGTATATACTTAAAAGTGGAATTGTTGAGTTGTATGATAATTCTATATTTGACCTTTTGAGGAACCACCAAACTTTCCACAGTGACTGAATCGTTTTATATTTCTCCTAGCAATGTACAGAGTTCTAAATTCTCAACATCCTCACCAACATTATTGCCATAAAAACAAGCATCAAGTGGTATCTCATTTTGGTTTTGATTTGCATTCTCTGAATGATTCCCTAATGATTTGTGATGTTAACATCTTTTTGTGTGCTTTTTGTCACTGGTAGATGGTTTATACTTTTCATTTCAGGATTGACTTTTGAAACATAAAAGCAGTAATGCACTCTTGTACATTTTGAAGAGAAAAATTGTGAAACATATGCTGGCTTACAGTTACCTAATGCAGCTGGCTGCCAATTTGGTGTCGTATTGTAGATCCATCCTGGGAAAAACTGCTTTGATGCTGTCCTCATTTTCCATTGAGAAGCCAAGACTCAAAATTGGGAGGCTAGCCTTTACACCCAAGAGTAGGTAGTTGAATTTTCCATCTGTAAAAGAAGGCATTGAAAATACATATCCCCAGTAAACTTTCAGAGAAATCCATGCCCTTTGACCAAGTAATCTGCCTTCTAAACATCTGTCTATTGAAAATTAACTGAAACAAAAGGGAGAAGAAGCTTTACATGTGAAGATGTCTCTTAGAACATTGTTTTTACAACTGTAAATTGACCTAAGAGTTCACCAATGGATGGCTAACTTATTATATTAACTAAACAGGAAATTTGGCCTTCTTTATAAGTTATACCAATGAGAACATACAAAATGTTTAAGTTAAAATGTTAAATGAAGAAACAAGATATTCGTTTGTGGACATAGTATGATTGCAATTACAGTATTCCTTACCTAAAATTCTTGGGAGCAGAAATATTTCAGAATTTTCCAGAATTTGGAATATTTTCATAGACTTTACTGATTGAGTATCTCTAACTTGAAAAATTTGAAATCCAAAATTTTTTTGAGCATTGACACACTCAATCAGATTTTAGATGTTTAGATTAAAGGTGCTCAGCTAGACCCACAAAATTGTACCTAGAAGGAAGACTAGAAAACAATACATTAGAATGATAAAGAAATTATAGTTTTGCTATGGTATGGTATGGTATGGTATGCTATGCTATGCTATGCTATAGTATGCTGTGGTACACCATAGTTTTATATAGCTTATTGGTTGACAGTTTTGACTTCCAAAAGACATCATTCATAACATAATAATGAATTATTGTTATTTTTATTTTTATAAACATGACCACAGTTGGAGGTTTGCAGACCAGAATCATACACCTAAATGTTGTACATGTTTCCAACCATTTGAAAAGTGTTGGTTATTTTGGTTTAGTGTGTTGACCTTAGAATTTACTCTGTAGAGAATGTCACTAACAGGACTTTGTTTAAAGTCAGGATGCCATAGGATAATTTCATGGATCCCTTAAATTCCATCCATTGTTTTGTATGTACCCACAGGTTTTTGTGGGAAAAGAAAATCTGAACTTTAAAATAAAAAATGTCTCTTTGCAGGTGTTCCATTGCCTAAAGAGGACATTTCTGCTCCCCTGATCTCCAGCTCGCCAGTAAAGGAAGCTCGAGAGTATGAAGATCCCCCAAGTGAAGAAGAAGATAAAATAAAAGAAGAGCCCTTGACCATCTCTGAACTAGCATACAACCCAAGTGCCAGCCTGCTCCCCACCCCTGTTGATGATGATGAGATTGACATGCTTTTTGACTGTCCATCTAGGCTTGAGTTGGAAAGAGAAGATACAGATTCATTTGAGGAACTGGAAGCAGATGAAAATGCCTTTTTGGTTGCTGAAGAAGAGGAGCTGAAGGAGGCTCGTCGAGCTTTGTCATGGAGTTATGACATTCTGACCGGCCATATTCGGGTGAACCCACTGGTCAAGAGTTTTTCCAGGCTTCTTGTGGTGGGCCTGGGACTGCTGCTCTTTGTATTTCCCCTGCTCCTCCTCCTTTTGGAGTCAGGTATTGATCTCTCCTTCTTATGTGAAATCCGCCAGACACCAGAGTTTGAGCAGTTTCACTATGAGTACTACTGTCCCCTCAAAGAGTGGGTGGCTGGGAAGGTCAACCTCATTCTCTACATGCTGGGTTGCTCATGAGGTTAATATCTTATAAAACTAAGGGCTATATTCAATACTAGTGATTTTTTTTCAGTAGATGACTGGTTCTGAATGGACATGGGGTTGCCAACAGATGTTCCTTTCTCATAATTGATCATTCAAACCCTCCATTAGCTTTTCATAATTAAATGCACTTAAATCAAAGATAGATATTTTACTTACGGGTCAGGAAGATGACCTTTACATAACCAAAATATGTTTATTTTAAGTGTAGACAACTATTATAATGCATAATACATTGGACTGAATAGATTTCCCTGTTTTTAATAGTTGGTACCATCACAAGCTATAAGGTTCAGAATCAGAATTTTAGTAAAAACCTAAGGGAAAGTTTTTGAATATAATCCTTAGTGAAAAATGATGTCCTCTAACCAATGCCTATACAACTAAATTTATGCTGGGCTTTCTGTTTTGTTTTTTTAAAACTATTTTTATGTGTTCAAACTATTTTGGTAAATTTTTAGCAAAAAAAAAAAAAAGCCTCCTGGAGTTATTTAAGTATACCGACTGTAAGACTAACAATGCACAAAGGTATATCGGGAATTTTTTAATGTTTTGGCACCAGTTTGTTTTTTAAAATATTTTTGGCTGAACAAGTCTATAATTTGTTATTACTTGCATATGGGATAGAAAATGGGTAGAAAGATACTTTAGTAAGTAAGCTCCCCAAACAGATGATGGGAATGGAGGATGTAGAAACTGAGAGCATTGAGTTGACACAGGGGAGTCCCTTTTTCCAAGTTTTGGACAAGATGACTTGGTACTTTTGTCTGCACTCTGTCCATATATTTGGGCTAGGGAAGCAGAATGTTTTTAAAAGATAGTAAAATTTTAAAGGAAAAATGGTAAAAGATATACCAGTTGATTGTTTATTGTATATTAAAACAAGAGTGAGTGGATACAGATAGAAATTGAACTAAAGGAAAGTAGTGAAGAAGAGTTCTGGTGAGGCTGTAGGGAGGTGGTGGAAGGCAAAGGGTGTCTTTAATGAAAGGGATGGTGACAAGAGGCATTCAATGATGTAAAGTGCACTCGCTGTCCAGTTGACATAAACATGTTTAAGTGGATCTAAATAAAAGTGGAGAAACTTTAAGGTAAATTTTTTGGTCCCTCATGCCATTCATTGTGATTCTGTGGAAGAAACTTCAAAAATGTGTGTGTGTGTGTGTGTGTGTGTGTGTGAGTGAGGGGGGGGGGATGAGTGGCTTTTTGATAAATACCAAGATTTATTCTTTATGGTGGGTAATATTCTCCTTTCCTTGCATGGTTTCCTTAAAATCTTAACTTATTCATCATTGGACTTCCATTGGGAAAATGAGAGTGCTCATCAGATGACAAATCAGTTCAGCCTGGGTAGAGAATAAAATAACAGATAAATCCTGTAGTACCTTCCTCCGCACCATTAAATCCATGATAGAAAGGGTCTGATGCTTTCCCATGCAGAGTACTTACCAACATTTGGTATGAGTGAGAAAGGGTCTGAGGTTTACAGCACAGAGTGCAGGATTTCTTATATAGAGATGGGGCCCACCTATAATATCTCCCTAATGACCCTCCAATGCCACCATTAGCATAATTTCCAAATTGGGCATTCCAGTCAATGGGCAACTCAGTCAATGGAGCTGTTAGTTCTTTATTAGATATTTAATTTTGAAAGTAAATGTTGAAAGTCAGTTCATGAGGCCTCTGTTGAACACATTATAATATATATACTTGCTATTATATTTGCAGGGTTTTCTTCTGGTGGACTTTCAGTGATTTATACTAATATAGAAGTATATTTTCTATGGTTGGAACCTGCAATAATTTATTTTGGACATTTGCATGTAGTCAGCTTGGAAATTGAAGTTTTAATATGTTCTATTCTTTTTTGACATAAGGGTACTCCAGTGTAGTCTATACAACTCTAGTCCCCTTTCTATCATTTTCTTTGAAATTCTAACCAAGACAAATTATCTAGCCCTCAATTTTAAAAAATAATATTAAATAATATATTTAAATTATGGAAGTGCTATATTTTTCATCATAAAATATTTGAAAAATACGCAGGATAATTATCACATGTCATCCAACCATGAGATACATATGCCATTTCCAGCTAGCATCTCTTTTCTCTTAGGCAGATACTTCTTTGTTTATTGAAGATGTTTTCAGGTTACAGAGTTGACAGAATAGGATCTACTTGATTTAAATAATAGCCATCCAAAGCAAAATTGGATTCTGGTTTAGAATCAGAGCCTTTTAAAAATACCCACTTAAGTTGTGTTAGTCACCACTTGCCTGCATCAAATGTGGAGACTGCTTCAAAAGGGAGATGGTATAAGTAGTAGTAAGACACAGAGTTCAAAGCACGTGTGTGGGTATATGTATATTCCATATTATCGGTATATGTGTTTATATATAAATCTGTATATATGTATTTGTATAGACACAACCAATATGCCTTTCACACATAGTTATGCTTATTTTGACCCAGTTGAAGAATTTGTGACATGTTGTTGTTCCTTTCCCTCTCAGATATCATGGTGGGTAAAAACCACAGCTTCAAAGATTTGAATTTTTCATAAAGACTGCTGTGTGTACCTTTGTGGATTTGTACACACATGCATGCATATGGCAAATACATATACACACACAACCTTGTCTTTAGTGCTAATGCAAGTGGGATTATGAAAATAATGTAGGTAAAGTATCATGTATTTCTATCTGTGCTTGGACCATATTGTAAAATGTTATGTATTTGGAGTATTACTTGTGGTTTGTTTAATATTTTTAAATATAACTCTGGGGAAAATTCAAAACACAATTGATTTTATTGAAATACTAGAGAGATGGGGGTCATGATACTGTGATGGAGCCTTACCTTTGTATAGTGAAATCTGCATTTCTCTGTCAACATCCAGATTGTTTTATATGTTAATATGGTGGCAGGAATCCCTAATAAAAATACTCTGGGGTAAAATAATTTTTTTGCAATCATTCAATTTTATTTAAAGTACAGTTGTGTAGTCATCTTAATGGAAACTATAGAAGGTTTCCCTTTAGGAACATAAATTGAGTCACCTTTCAATGGTGATAATATGAAAAGAATCACAGGTAATAGATGAGATTAACTCTCTGCAGAAGTCACCCAGGCCCAAAGCAGGAATATTAGCCCTGGATATATGCTCAAATATTAAAGAAAAATATGGTGTAATGTAGTTCAGTGGTAAAGTCTCCCTGGATTCAATCCCCAGTGCCTCCAAAATATATTAGTAATAGTATTAATTAGAGAGCTGAGCATGGTGGTGCATACCTGTGATCCTACCTACTCTGGAGGCTGAAACAAAATGATGGCAAGTTCAAGACCAGCCTTAGCAACCTAGTAAGACCCTATCTCAAAATAAGAAATAAAAAGAGTTGAAGATGTAGTTTAGAAGGAGAGCACTTGCCTAGCATGCCCCAGGCCCTGGGTTCAAACCAAGTACTGAAAATTTAAAAAAGCACAAAACACTAGAGAAATAGAAAAGAATAAACAAAATTAGGAGGAAAAATTAAGAAATTAAGTCCTCCTTACTTGCCAGGAAAGGCAGCCAGCGAGAGTTGCTTTAGACTCTCAACTCTGTGACACTTGCCTTTAGATCTCTTTTTTTGTCAAAGCCATAGAGGAATCAGCTATTCCATGTCCATCCTCCCCTCCATACAAACTAACCTTGCCAGGTCTTCTACTGAGGATTGGCCCAATGATTACAACTCCATACTTGAACATTAAATCAGGAGGTGTTACTTTGAATGAAAAGAGGAGCTTACAGGAAGAAAACCCTCGGATGTCAAGGAGAATTGGCCCCTAGCTATGGTGGCCTTTTAAGCCTGTCAAGTTCTTACTCAGCAACCTTCAGAAGGATGGGAGTAGAGGGGAGAAAAGGAATTCGGTGGTTAGTGCCCAGGGGTGAGGTGACCTATGCACCTGCGGTCCTGGCTCCAGCCAGTGCTTTTGTTTGGGTTATTCTCTGATGACCCAAAAGACTAACAAAAAAATGACCTTTGGCCACTTATTCAACCTCACCTCTGAGTGAAATCTCCTAAATCCCCTCATTTTCTGCTGAGTCAAACAGAGGAAGGATCACCCACCAACAAGCCCAACATGGAGAAAAGTACTGGGGAGAGGCTTCCATCTTTGGGGTGATTTCTGGGATGATTGTGACTGATGGGATTTGGGTCTCTTTTGGCCTTCTTTCTCTACTGGGTGGAGATAATGTGCTAAAGGTCCCTGCTTACTTGTCCTCCTGCTTCTTCTCTCTCTTTCTCTCTATCTTGGACCTGATTTTGGGCTTCCAGTCTCCATGCCATAAACAGACCCAGCAGGACCTGTTCGTGGTGGGCCCAGCCAGGATCGGCTCTCCATGTTCCAGCCTCGGTCTGTGACTGGGTGGGTAAGTTTGGTGGGCCTACCCAGTGGGCTCAGCTGTCATCACTCTGGAGAGGAAGAAAGGAACCTCAGATCCCAGCTGTGATCTCCAATCCATTTCCAATCCATTAATAAAGCTGACTTTAACCTTCTTCTGGCCATTGTATCTTTTATCTAGTGGAACTAGATAGCGGTGGGTAGGATGGTGGTTAATATTTAGAATCTCCAACCTACAATATTACAGACAAGGAAGGAGTGGAGAAGTTTGCTCCTTGCTGAGGGAATGTCTGCTACAAACATCAGGGAATGTCTGTTACAAACATGGGCCTTGCCAATAGAATAAGAACCTGGAAATGAATATTAGTAAAGAACAGGGCACAGTGGCATATGCCTATAATCTTGGCTGAGGCAGGAGAATTCCCAGTTTGAGGAAGTCTCAGCAATTTAGCAAGACCCTATCGCCCACCCCCCCCAAAAAAAATTAAAAAAATAAAAGGACTGTGGATGTAGTTCAATGGTAAAGTGTTCCTGGATTGAATCCCAGAGCCTCCAAAAAAGGAAAATTAGTAAAGAATAGACGTTGGTTGGAGTGGTACATCCCTATTCTTTACCTTTAGTTGATGCTTACCCTCCCTACATATCTCTTTAAAGAAATATCCAAAGCCATTTTCCTGGTTGCAAAGGAAAATTAATAACAACATCCTCTCTGTAGAAATAAGGATTGAAACAGGGCTTTCAAATTCCAGCAACTTCTTCAGCTAAAACCCTTATCTTGATTCTTTGTGCCTATAGAATCATGATTGTGATCACTGGTTTTCCAGAGACTGTTCTTCAAGAGAAAGAATATATTAACCAGCCAGTATTAGTTTCTACTTTGTGTGGCAACCATATTCCTCAGAAGTTAAAAACCCAGTGTTCTGACTTAAGCATCAGACTCCTGTAATTTCTTGGTGTAAATCAGTTCCCTCTCCTCCTCAATCAACCTGCGTTTGCTGACACTCTTGAGCTTTTGATTCTGCAAAGTTGCAAACCAGACCACTGTGAACAGTGGTGGCCATGCAGCTGTGCTACTCCCTGGCCATAGGTTACAAG